CCAAAAAAAAAAAAAAAAAAAAAAAAAAAGATGCTTGTTAAAACAATATCCCCTCATCCCTTTCCTGGGGATTCTGATTTAGTTCATCTGGGGTGAGGGGTGGGCACTGCAAATCTAGATTTTCAACAAGTGCCCAATAATTCTTAGGACTGGTGGCAAACACCAGCCTGAGGTGGAATTATTAACATCACCTACCTTGACTTCTCCCTGTCCTATCTACTTGGGAGTTTGAGTCCTCATTTCCCCTATAAGATTTGTTCTTTTTTAACTCTCCTGTTGCCTTTCTTACAGGTTCCAATGGTGTATATTGTTAGTTTGGGAGACCACTATAAGTATTAGCAATAGGATATAGTAAGGTTGCTTGAGGAAACACTGTATAAAACATGTCAAATTGCTGACAAATATTTCCATGTGCCAGGAGTTTGTCCATGGGTTTCCCCTCTGCTATAAAAGTTTCCAGCAAATAGATGTTTCTCTCTTTTTTTCTCCCCAAATTCTCTCTCAATTCTATTTCTTGCCAATGTGTATGAACAGTTTCTCAAATTACCAACAATTAAGTAGCAGGAGAGAAATCTTGAAAAGAATACAGGTTTTCTACCAGGTCACTCTTAGCAGGTTGCCCTGCCTAAAAACAAGGAGTTCCTCCCACACTCTCGCTAACTACCTGCTAACCAAGTCTCCAGGTTACATCTGCCCCATTGCAAGAACCACATTTTATACAAGACACAGAATTAGACACAAATGCAGGATTTCAAGAAAAATATTGAATCTCGCTTATCTGTTTCATAATTCTGTATCTGCTGTGCTCATGGACACGTGCTCATGTTGCATTGCTGCCTTTTTAAACCTTAAGAGAAAACAGATGACAAACCCCAATAATCACATGACAATAACAGAGACAGAGTCTGACAAGATTTTAGTGTTAAATCGACAGTGATCAATCACCAGTTAAGACGTTAAGACTCTAAGGAACAAATCCATCCCAACAGTTAAGTCATGACTAGTTAATCACCTTAAGGAAACAAAAGGAAGCACGGCCTCTCACTCACGAGTGTAAGGAATGCGTACAGTCTATTACCTTCATTCAGTCCTGACTCTTCTCAAGAAAGACGAGCATTCCAAATTATGGCTGGAATGTTCCCAAGGAGAGGCCCCCTGAAAAGCTGCCAGAGAAGGACACCAGCACAGTCTCTCAGCAGGGAGGGGTGTGTAGACCTTACCCAATACCTCTGGGCTAGCTCTGCGAGAAGCTGCTTTGTAGAGTGTTGTGAATGCTCAGTGCTCCCAGTATCTATTGGGAAGAAGCAGCTGAGCCACTGTTGTAATCCTTCCAATGCTGCAGTCACAAATATGCAAGCATATACACACACGTACATGCCTACATTTGCACGTTTGCATACACATCTACTCTCGTGCACGTATGCATAGAGATACATGTTGATTCACATACAAACCCCTCCCACTCCCTGTGGAAGTGCCTGTTCTCCACAGCCCAAAGCCTTGCTAGATGAACATCTCTAGCCCCAGCCGTGCCATGTGGCCACCATGACATCATTGTCTTTACAACTGTGAATCCAAGCATCATAGGATTCTAAACCACAACCTCACAGTTACATTCTTTGCTTGAACTAAAGCTGTGTATTTGCATTGGTGTAATTCTTGAATTAAATTACTGTGACTCTTGAGCAAGTAGTATTTTTTAAAAATACTTTAAAAGAATATGTGTGTTTCTTTATTTTTCTCTATACTCCCAAATAAAACATGCCTAGAGAGCACTTTGGCATTCCCTTTTGTTGGGATTTTAACAGGTTAAATCCTGCTGTTTTATTTTTCCCCAGGTAAACACTTAACCTGCAAATAAATATTTGGAAAAAGATATACCTAAATACTGTCTCCAATACATGATTTTAAGAAAGATTGGATATTCTAATCATAATGTTCTTGTTCATAAGTATCAAGGACTTAAATAGCTGTTGACCATTAATTTGGCAACCATTATAACTTCTGCAGCTTTTCTCTTAAACTTGATAGCGCTTAAAAGCAAAGCCTTACCTGCACAAGAGCAGAGTCCTAAGCCTTGGCATATATGAGTATTACTTTTTGAAGTTTCACACATTTCGGCAGTAGCATATACAATATAGGGATGCTTTTCGTTTAATAATGTACAAAGTTGAATAAGCACAAAATCATAATAAGGGTCAAAATTGTGAAAAACAAGTAGTGGCAGAAAAAAAGAGGTATGCAGTTATTTTGGTTTCAATTACTAGAATTTTCTTAGCATGCTTAGCAGCTGTACACTGGAAATAATTGCCATGTGAATATTGGCACAGTCCCTCAAGTAGATTCAGAAGAGAGAAGAATATTTCCTGGGCTTAAATGACCAATGGCACAAGTGGGATTGGTTATTCAGAAGGGACCTGTCCTTACCTTTCAACCTCACCACTATCCCCCATCATCTTTCCTAGGAATCTTGGCAGCTGCCTTCTAGAGGTGACTGTCTGATAACACTTGACCCCTCTAAAATAGAAGTGCAGAGCAGAGAGGCCTCTTGAATTTGGCAGCCATTATAAATTTTGTAGCCAACTTTGCTAATACTAGGAACTGAAACCTTCTCAGCAGAAAGTGACTTTCCCTACCCACATCCCCTATCAGCCCATTCAAGGCAATATTTTTCATTTATATTCTCACTCTTTGAAAACAAAATGGGAAAATACTTGACTTCCAAAAATAAGATGCTAAATCAAAAATGTACTAGCAATAGGTAACAATATTCTCAAACTTTGTTTTTTTTTGTTTTTTTTTTTTTAAAAGATGACCGGTAAGGGGATCTTAACCCTTGACTTGGTGTTGTCAGCACCTCGCTCAGCCAGTGAGCGA